GAGGAAAAAGGAAATGATCCCGACAAGTATTTCGAGCCAATTTCTCCAGTTCGGCGTTAAGTTAAAAATATTTTATTTTTTTTTTCTTTCGTGGCGTTTCCCAATTAAAAAAATCGCAGTTGGTAATTAAAGAATCACGTACAAATTACAAAAAAAAAAAATTAGCTGTACCTTATGAAATAATATATTGCTTGTCGCGCGAAGTCAAGTAAGATGGCAGGTACGAACTAAATTTTGGAGAGCTTTAAGAATACCATCGAGGTTGGGGTATGTTCAGTGTGATTGATTGATGTGTCTTAGTTCGTAAAAGTATTATAGACGTGCGTGGCCTTAAGCAAGACGTATCGGCGTTTAATCCGCGACAAACAGATGCTCGATCAGCAGCTAATAAATTGAATTGAACGACTTAAGGTCTCCCGATGTAATGAAAGCGACGCGTAACCCTTACAACGGCGATTCCCCCGAATCCGAAGTGCCTAATCGCGCGATTTTGCGCGATCGGGGGTATAAATCGAAGGGGCAGGGGAGAAAGGGAAGGTGAAGGAAAAGGACGATTATCGATTCTGTGCACTTAATTATACTAAGTCGATGCGAGCCGGCGCTCCGTCAACGATTAATTCCGAGCTGCAGACTCGTATAGCCGCACCTCCAACAATAACAATCGACGTTGAGATCGGCCGACGTCCGATAGACGGGAAATAGATTAGCTTTAACTTTATATCCTAAATTCTCGTGCTAACTTTAGATAAATCTGCCCCTAAATTGCGAACAGAGTTTAGTTAGTTACTTCGTCCCCGAAGTCCGACACGAAGGTCCGAAAGATGAGGATTGAAATGCGAAGGAGCAGCGATCGAATAGCGAATAAGATTATTCATTATTCGTTATACATTATGTGTGTGCGAATAAAAATATTTAATATTCGTTTGCGCGACGAACAATGATTTATTCGTTATTCGTTACTCGTTTTATACAATCGCGAGGTGTGTAAGTGTTTTTTTTTATTTTTTTTCAGACAATACTCTGAATATTCTGGGATCGTCTCTCTGCTTAAGGGGATCCTAAGCTAATCCAAGTTTCATTCTTGTTTTATCAAAAAATGTGAAGTTAGGTTAAGCTATGAATCTTATTATTGGCTACACGGATTCTTTTTTTATCCGAAATTAGAACGCTTCGCTCTTTGTTAATATTAATACTTTATTTTGTACAGGAAAAAGACTGTACAAATTTAAGTATTATAATATTAACAAAGGGCGCTCTAATTTCGGATAAAAAACAATCCGTATAGCCGTAATAAATAGATTTATGATTTATCCAACCTCACGTTTTCTCGATAAAACAGGAAAAAAACAACAGCCTTCTCAAGGACGTTTAGGATCCCCTTAAGAGATGTCTTTCGGATGTTCGTATCGTCGGCGAGGTGTCGTTGGACGCTTCCTCCTGCGAACAGACGACAGATTATCCGCTACTCGTAATCGTCCTCGTTGCTTATACGCTAAGATGAATCTCTCTACTTTTTAAGAATTTTCTTTTAGTTTCTTGTCTCTACCCGCTCGCATGATCCAATACGCTGATACCGAGTGACGCGAGAGAGAACGGAATTTCCTTCTTCGTTATGCCTGAATAAAACGAAACACTCCGAAACTCTCGTGTAACCGAATATTATTAATTTTGAGAAAAAGTCGAGAAAATTAGAATTGTGAACAATGATCAGTTCGAAGGAAGTCTCGAATTAATTAATGAACTTTTGAAAGCAAGATGCAACAATCAAGGACACCGTCGTGTCCCTTCGTGCCACTCGGTGTATAGATTATCCGCGCTTTTTTTTTAATTACAATTTATATAAGGCTACTTAAAGCGGTTATACATAATAATCGACAACCCGACTTGCTCGCATTTTGCCTAATCGTTCATAACTACTATATGTATACTAGGTGTGATGCACAGTACTTCATAATAATAATAATAGTAATTAATTGCAAGTAGTAGTAATAGTAATAGTAGTAATAGTAATAATATAATAATAATAATAATAATAACATCATTATTGTTATCCTCACTGTGCTCCTCTCTGTTAAACGTTATCTGTATGTAAGTTAACCACGTTATTTATTTATTTATTTTTAATTTCACTTCTGGGTTTTTCCTTTTCTTTTCCTTTCTCTCTCTTTATATGTTTTACTATAGTTAGAAGGTGTCGAGCGACAGAAGCAACGTTTTCTGTTTGTGTTGTTGCTGCCTCCGATTCCGTTGTTGTGTGTATCCCAGCTCGAGCAGAATCGCGATCTTTTAATTACGCGTATCGTTGACAACGATTATGGTCCAATATATCGATACCGGCTTTCACGCGGAGAACATTGCCGTATAGTTTTCCTCCATTCGATGCTCTTTCTCTCTCTTCTTTTTTCTCGTCACGAATTGCTAAGCGTCTTCAAGTCGTCCCACGAAAAAAAAAAAAACAGGATATGCCAGAACATCGTCGACCTGCATCGTTATGTTAAATTAACAAGTAATCTTAAAATTTTGATTAAAATACATTCCAATCTCGTGAGATTTTTTTTTTTAGTCTGTCATAACGAGAAAAATATACACGAAAAAAATTGTTAATCATTTTTCGTCATATCATTTTTCATTTTATGGATTTATAAAAGAGACTGATTGATAAGCAGATAAGCAGAGCATCAAAGAATAAATTATGTACAAGGAGAAAAAGAATTAAAAATTTGAGATAATTGTGTTACTGGACGAATCAGAGTTTCGAACTTAATGCGCATTTTTTTCTAGATAATACAATTCATTTTTTATTTGCACTAATAACTGCTTTAATAATTTAATTTTCGTATTTTTTAGACTGATAGTGTCTCTCTTTTTCTGGCGTCCGAGAAATATTTCTTGATTTACATAAAATCGCGTAAAACTTTACGGACGATGCAAGCAAACGAGTTTGAATTCTCTTTTACTACGTGCTTTCTCCTTCCGAGATAACAAAGTTTATCTTTTGAACAATAATCGGCTTTGCAAGGCTAATGGGAAAAAATGGGGTCGCGAAAGGTCAAATCCTTTTTATCATAGCGCTTTCCCCATAATAGAAGGAGCGTGCGAGGCTTCGCATACGATACAAGCGATATAACATCGGCCTCGGCGTCAAAAAGGATTATCAGGGATTAACTATTTTAAAAAGATGCCTACGAAAAAGTAATGTTCCCGAACGATATTGACATCCTGACACCTTCGGGCATAAATAAACTATTAAAAAATATCCCGGTAACTTTACTTGTCCCGACTCTCTTTTCACGTTAGTCGTGTTTTTATAGCGTTTTTTATCGCGCTTTACTCTTCAAAAAATTTAAAATATTCTATTTAAATATGAATATAAAAAATTAAAAAAAAAATTATAAAGATGTTTGAATATGGATGAAATTTCATCTTTCTTGTCCTATTAGATTATTGTTAGTTTGGAAATATTTCTTTTGGGCATTTTTTTAATCTCTTTAAACGCGTCAGGTGAATTTTTGTCAACGTGATTTTTCCATGAAAAAAGAATTTCAAAGAATCGCGCGAAAAAAAGCGCCGTGTAATAGGGAAGAGAGAGTGTATGATGCGTCGAAATATTTATAAAACTGAAACACATTGCGCGACGTTCGTCCAAAATATTGATAAATCGGCTCCTATACTCCTCGATCGACGCTTTTTCGCCCCGCCAACTCGATGTTATTAAATTCGCGTGTACGAGGCCGAAGGGATGGATGGAAGGAGCGCTGATAAAACGCCCGACGAAAAATGGGACGCCGAAACTTTTTGAATAAATTCAATCCGAAGACCACCCCCTCGACACAGAATGCCGTTCCTCGACAGAAAGCTGATCGGCGAGAATTTGAAGAAAAAAAATCATGATGCAGGAACGATACATATACAGGAAGTCGTCTCACACTTTTATTCGAATTTTAGAATGGAGTTGATTTTTCGAAGAAGCTATAAAACATTATTTTTTCTTAACGTATTTCTTTATTATAATCATAATTTTAACAGATAAAAAAATATGATTCTCTTATTTTAAAAGATTTAATTGCTTGAACAACCCTGAGCTCTGGGAGACGATCGATCGATTAATTCCGCAAGAAACTATTTTGCCTAAAACATCATAATCTGGTGTAAAACTGTACTAGAGAAGCACTAGATCGCGCAAGGAAATTCTCGCACAGATGCGCGTCTTCAAGTTGGATCCCACGAAAGCTACCGTGAAAGCGGATAACCGCGATACGATGACGACGACTGCGAACTATTCTCTCGAGCTCTTTGTCATTTGCAAATCGCGAGTATTAAATATCATCGTTATCATTCCAATTATTTATTGTCGAGGAATCGTGTGCGCAGCTTGTCTTGTTTTTTTGGAATCCTTTTTCAATTCGATCGAAGATATTTTTCAGAAAACTTTAATATTATTTTGATAAAAAAAGCAAACATTATCTGATAAAATAAAAAAAATATCGTTACGGACTTATATTTGATCTCGTGCGATATGCAATTTAAGATGCCATCTTAATTCAGAACGAGACTCGCTAAACGAAGTTTCGATCAAATCTCTGATCCGAGGAAACTTTTTTATCGAGAGCATTTTCCATCCGCGAAAATATGCATATAAAATGGGCAAATAAAGTATTACACATATAAAAGGCTAAAAAGAGCAGAAGTAATAAAATAGGCGAATTTAATAAAACGCGCGGCAAAATAAAGTGGCGACGATAATAATAACGCATAAAATTTAACGAGCCGATTCCTTAACTGCATCACTTAATTCGATCGAGTTTAGTAAATACGTTGTATGTTCATTCAATTGAATCAACCGTGATTGTACGAGGATATCGAGATGGAAAACCGATGTAAATCGGTATTTTGAAACATGGTCGGTTTAAAAATAATGTTTAAAAATAATTACAATGTAACATTTATTATTTATAATTTTATACGGTTTTTAAATATCAGCTCTATATAAAAATTTGTTTGAAAAATTGAATTTTTAGGAAACAAAATAATTATATTTTTTTCTCTATGTTGTGATTTTTCGATATCTTACGGTATTTAGTTACGATGTAAAAAGGACATTCTAAAGAAAAAGAGTTTTGAATGAATGTATAATAAATATCGAGAAGTTCAAAGAGTAAATATTTGAGTGTCATACTCGGATAATAGGAATAATATATAGGTATAAAGTTTTTATGAAAGACATCAACTTACGAAACATTGTACCAGCGCTTATCCAAATAACAATAAAAAAATCGAACAATCTGCGAATTGACAAAAGCAACAGGTGTACGAGGCATATTTCCACAACCAACTGATAACTGTTGTGCAAATCTGATAAAATCAGCGGAATTTTTTTCATATCGGTATGCAACACTCCCTGGACTTCAATTCTCGTAAACGTTGAATTTAATTGAACGCTCAAAATCAAACGGATATCGGGAAGAAGAGAGCACGCATTCAGAGAAATGTGCGATCAAAAAATAAAAAAAAAACGTGGAACGTAATCCGATTTTTGGAGAAAATCGAAAGATCGAAAAGGACGACTATCAACGTCTCCGCGAGATCCGCTACCGTAGGAAGCCTCGATCGTTCGGCGCAAACGTTTGAGACGCAAAGTGCAACTCTCAACACCCCTCAAGTACGCCCCCCCGTGCAAGTTTGTGTGATTGAAGGACCTATTGTGGCTCCGTGTGACGCTCGTGTGGCGCGGATCCTCCGTCTTACGGGACGACGTATTAGCCACGGAGGCTTCGGCACACCAAGAGGACCGCCAGCGAGATCGCCAGGACGAAGTACGCGCTGCTCGACGCTGTCAACGACGGCCCGGAATTGCAGCCGTCCTGCTGGCAGCAATACGTTCTCGTGCTCCAGGCCTCTGAAACAACCGAGTCATTCGGCAATTTAATTCGGCGATCCGAAATCTCGGTTGTGACACGCGCATACTATCGCAAAGTCCGATTTTTATTTATTTTTTTATTATACTTTATTTATAAATTACAGTTGCGTGAAAAAGAAAAAAACCATTTGTTATTTTCACTGGAGGATACAAAAGTTGGGAAACTGAATAAAAATTTTGAAAATATAAATTTTAATTTGAGAAGTGAAATATTTTTAAATATCTCAGACACAACCGATTTCTTTTCATTCGGCAATTTAATTCTGAGATCCGAGATCTCGGTTGTGACACGCGCATACTATCGCAAAGTTTTTATTTATTTTTTTATTATACTTTATTTATAAATTACAGTTGCGTGAAAAAGAAAAAAACCATTTGTTATTTTCACTGGAGAATACAAAAGTTGGAAAGCTGAATAAAAATTCTGGAAATGTAGATTTTAATTAAGAAGTGAAATATTTTTAAATATCTCAGACACAACCGATTTCTTTTCATTCGGCAATTTAATTCTGAGATCCGAGATCTCGGTTGTGACACGCGCAATACTATCGCAAAGTCCGTTTTTTATTTTATTTTTTTATTATTTTACACTTTATAAATTACAGTTGTGTGAAAGAGAAAAAAACCATTTGTTATTTTCACTGGAGAATACAAAAGTTGGAAAACTGAATAAAAATTCTGGAAATGTAGATTTTAATTAAGAAGTGAAATATTTTTAAATATCTCAGACACAACCGATTTCTTTTAATTCGGCAATTTAATTCTGAGATCCGAGATCTCGGTTGTGACACGCGCATACTATTGCAAAGTCCGTTTTTTATTTATTTTTTTATTATACTTTATTTATAAATTACAGTTGCGTGAAAAAGAAAAAAAACCATTTGTTATTTTCACTGGAGGATACAAAAGTTAGGAAACTGAATAAAAATTTTGAAAATATAAATTTTAATTGAGAAGTGAAATATTTTTAAATATCTCAGACACAACCGATTTCTTTTCATTCGGCAATTTAATTCTAAAATCCGAGATCTCGGTTGTGACACGCGCATACTATTGCAAAGTTCGTTTTTTATTTATTTTTTTATTATACTTTATTTATAAATTACAGTTGCGTGAAAAAGAAAAAAACCATTTGTTATTTTCACTGGAGAATACAAAAATTTGAAAGCTGAATAAAAATTCTGGAAATGTAGATTTTAATTAAGAAGTGAAATATTTTTAAATATCTCAGACACAACCATTTTTTCTTATTCGGCAATTTAATTCGGAGATCCGAGATCCCGGTTGTGACACGCGCATACTATTGCAAAGTCCGTTTTTTATTTATTTTTTTATTATACTTTATTTATAAATTACAGTTGCGTGAAAAAGAAAAAAACCATTTGTTATTTTCACTGGAGAATACAAAAATTTGAAAGCTGAATAAAAATTCTGGAAATGTAGATTTTAATTAAGAAGTGAAATATTTTTAAATATCTCAGACACAACCGATTTCTTTTCATTCGGCAATTTAATTCGGAGATCCGAGATCTCGGTTGTGACACGCGCATACTATTGCAAAGTCCGTTTTTTATTTATTTTTTTATTATACTTTATTTATAAATTACAGTTGCGTGAAAAGAAAAAAAACCATTTGTTATTTTCACTGGAGAATACAAAAGTTGGAAACTGAATAAAAATTTTGAAATATAATTTTAATTAAGAAGTGAAATATTTTTAAATATCTCAGACACAACCGATTTCTTTTCATTCGGCAATTTAATTCTGAGATCCGAGATCTCGGTTGTGACACGCGCATACTATTGCAAAGTCCGTTTTTTATTTATTTTTTTATTATACTTTATTTATAAATTACAGTTGCGTGAAAAAGAAAAAACCATTTGTTATTTTCACTGGAGAATACAAAAATTTGAAAGCTGAATAAAAATTCTGGAAATGTAGATTTTAATTAAGAAGTGAAATATTTTTAAATATCTCAGACACAACCATTTTTCTTATTCGGCAATTTAATTCGGAGATCCGAGATCTCGGTTGTGACACGCGCATACTATCGCAAAGTCCGTTTTTTATTTATTTTTTTATTATACTTTATTTATAAATTACAGTTGCGTGAAAAAGAAAAAACCATTTGTTATTTTCACTGGAGAATACAAAAATTTGAAAGCTGAATAAAAATTCTGGAAATGTAGATTTTAATTAAGAAGTGAAATATTTTTAAATATCTCAGACACAACCATTTTTTTCATTCGGCAATTTAATTCGGAGATCCGAGATCTCGGTTGTGACACGCGCATACTATCGCAAAGTCTGTTTTTTATTTATTTTTTTATTACACTTTATTTATAACTTACAGTTGTGTGAAAAAGAAAAAAACCATTTGTTATTTTCACTGGAGAATACAAAAGTTTGAAAGCTGAATAAAAATTCTGGAAATGTTGATTTTAATTAAAAGTGAAATATTTTTAAATATCTCAGACACAACCGATTTCTTCTCATTTGGCAATTTAATTCGGAGATCCGAGATCTCGGTTGTGACACGTGCATATTATTGCAAAATCCTTTTTCATTTTATTATTTTATTATTTTACACTTTATATGTAATTATAATTATGTGGCTAAAAAGATTTATTAACTCAAGAGGATGCAGAAGCTGGAAAGTAACTAAATGAAAAATTCTAAAAATATAGATTTCTTTGAGAAGTATAAAAGAGATATTTTTAAATATATCCGACACAACCGATTTGTTCTTATTCGGCATTTTAATTCGACGAATCGAAATCTTGATTGCGACATTATTGCAAAGTCCTTTTTCATTTTATTATTTTACACTTTATAAAATTACAATTATGCAAAAACAAAAAAATCCATTTGTTATTTTAACTTGAGGATATAGAAGCTGGAAAGTAGCTAAAAGCTGAAAAAAAATTCTGAATATATAGATTTTAATTTGAGAAGTGAAATATTTTTAAATATATCCGACACAACCGATTTGCTCGGCAATTTAATTCGGGGATTTGAGATTTCGCTTGTAACACGCGCATCGCATATATTAATTCAAAGCCTTTTCTCATTTTATTATTTTATTATTTTACACTATACGCATACAATTACAATTTGAACAATATAAAAGAGAGAAAAAAACAATTTTTTGTTATCTTAATTCGAGAATACAGAAACTAGAAAATAACTGAAAAAAAACTAAAAATGTAGCTTTTAGTGAGATGCAATCGCGAAATATTTTTAAATAATTTAATTTTTTTATCCTCTTTATTCTTTTATTTTTTGGTTTTAAATGCTTTTAAACGTTTCCATAGAGCTTTTTGGAAACGTTTAATCATTTCGTGTGGTAACGATATCGGATAACAACGAATATCTGTTACAACGAATAATAAATTTCGACAACAAGCAATAACTATATTTTGAAGGGAATCGTTAACTCGGAATTCAACTAATTGAAAGAAGCTTTAATACAGCCAAATAAAAGGATCACGAAGAGGAAGAACAGCGTACCATCGGACAAGGATTAATCGCGGCGCTTCCGTTTCAAGACATATGAAAAAGAGTCAAAAAAAAGAGAAGGAAACGAGCGGAAAAAAGATATACATAGAATACAGACGTTGTCGAAGAACGAGCGGTGGGAAAAATACGAGGAGCAAGGAAAGGAAAAGTATAAGGCCTTCATCCATAACGAAACAATAAAACGACGCGACCCGATAACACTGTTTGCCCGTGGGACCTTTAAACGATTCACACGCTTTCATTTTTTCCTCCTTTCTCCATTCCTCTCCTTTTTCGAGAGCGAAGACGGGATGAAGAAAAAGAGCACAATGCGGGCGTAAATCCGAAATCGATGACACGGCTCGGTTCCGATTCTCCAGAAAGAGAGAGGAAGAAAGCGTCCCGACGTCGACGTCCACCTTTCAGAAAACAAACGTCGGCCCGAAGCAACCGATAACACGCGGTTTCACCAATTTTTTAAGACCGTTTTATCCCCTATAAATTTCGCCGGACTGCGCAGAAACAATCGGTGCCAAGGAATTTAGGAGTGTGGATTTAGCGCGGGAAAAGCTCGCGAAAATAGATTGCAACGATCACTAGATATATGTATATGTATGTTTATTCGCGATGGGGGATAAAAAAAGCTTTTTGACACTCACCCTTCTCCACGCACTGCTGCACGCAGTCCCGTACCGTTGATCCTTCGCTGACGTATTTCTGCAAAACAGCAAAAAAACCAGAAAAGTCATTAGATCGACGTGAAATAGGCGAGACCTCTCACGAGCGACTATAAAAACGCGACGACAGAGAGTGGCGAGTAATGATCAATGACGTTGTGCAATTTGCGGTTTCTCTCTCTCTCTCTCGCGATGCGCGGAATATTTTATCCCGCGGCGAAATGACACAAAACGTCACTCACACATACGGCCAATAAATCTGCCTCCGGTTATCGAAGTGAGAATTACGGAATGTTTCATCTGTCAATATTGTTTTACGCAATTTCAGCGTGTCCCTGGCCGGGGCAAAAAAAAAAAAAGAGAGAAAAAAAACGCCGTTCCAATCTCGAAATTGTTATACAAAGGATGAAATATGATGCATACGCGTGTCCCAGGTTTGCCTGCAACGAAAAAGTATGGTGCGACCATCATAATTGTATTTTTTTCAATTTTTTGTCTTAAGCGACATGTACATATGTGTGCGCGTACAACGACGAATTGCTGACACAATTTCCGGAAATTCCTGTACGCGAATTCTGATGCAAAGTCCTCTCCCGATTTCGAGATCGCCGCGAACGATCAGGAACGACAAGTATGATACGATCCTTCAGCGGACCCTGATTGGTCAAACGGGAAGTCTCCCTCGGAGCGGACTGTACGTCACGTGCTCGGCATGATCGATACTCGACGATTATAACGCCCCGAGGACGTCGTACATATTAAACCCTCCGACTCCGTGTTCTCTCTATCTGTCTATCTTGCATCGCTCTTGCTTCCCCGTCGTAGTTATTAAACCTCCCTTTGCGGACCAAGAATTTCCGCGTCGACGATACACTCTCGTTATTGAACCTTTCGAGCGCGATCGCCGAATAACGTGAAAACGTAGCGCGAATCAAAAAAGCGAAGAATAATCCGCCAAGTGGAATCTTTTATCCCGATTTCAACAACTTCGTCTTGCAATCATCGCGCGGAGTTATCGATATCGACGTGTTCGATTTTCGAAAAAAAAAAAAAAAAAAAAAAAAAAAAATTAATAAAGCGCGACCTTATTTGTACGTAAACGTCGAATAATGACGAAATAATGGGTGTGGATAAGCGCGCGTCGGAATTTATAAATTGCACGAGAGCAGCGAAATATAGGAATGAAATACGGGAAAGCAGTATAATAACGCTAAAGCTAAAACGATGCGGCATGTTTATTCGCGAGCGTTTAATTATGACAATTGTCGAAATTGTTTCGCGATTTTCCATGTTTCTGCTTGTTTCGAATAAAACGACGGCGGCGCGAATAAAGCGCGATCATCGACGATTTTTTTGTCCCGCGGGACTCGGCGAATTGCTCTCTTGAAAATCTCCATAGTCAGCGTATAGAATTAATTTAGCTCTCAACCGGCCTGATGAGCTCGTTTCATATAAGAGATGTAATGCACTATACTCCGGGGACTTTATTCCCTTTTACCTAACGATTCCCTTTGCCCTCTTAGCTGAGATTAGTGTAATCCATAATTCAACGAAAGTTGAAGTAAAAAGTACCATATTTTTATATTCTCTTAATACATTTTTATTTGATTTAAAAATTGCGACTCTCTTAATCGGTTTCGAGTGCTTAATCGGTGACATTATAGCAGATGGATCGGGTAAAAAAAAATTCGTCAACTCAGATTATATAGTTTCCGAATTATTATATTTGTTCAGGAATGCGCATCCCCTATGGCTCGCCAAACGAAATTTGCGGGATAAATTCGTCACCGTGGCGGAAAAATTGTCCTCGTTTTTCCTCTCGTGAATATTTAATCTGGAGACGCAAGTAGGGGAAAAAGGCAGAAAAATAAAGAGAGAGAGAGAGAGAGAGAAGGAAAGCAAGGACGAAAAAATATACTAAACGACTGCAGGCAGGCAAGCGAGTCGAAACGACATGTCGCTCTTCGGAGAAGAAAAATTCGCACGTAATGGCGAGAGTCATTTTCCCGTCGTTTCTTCTTTTTCTACCGGTCAGATTAACCACGCACGATATCGGCGTTTTCTATTTCCGCGCAAAAGTTTTTATCAAACCGCTAGTTTCCTGCACAGATTGCCCGGCTTCCTATGCGTTATGTACAGCGATAGTAAGAATATTTCTATATCTGCCGCAATTTCCGGTCCCCGAAAAAAGAAAAACATAGATCGATTTCCTCCTTGTTCATTATAAATAATAGCGCATCCTGTGTTTGAAGGATCCGAAACAGAAATAGAGTAGATCCATAATTCGTATAAATATTGTATTTTAAATTTTGTTTAAAGTGTGCCTGACAAGTTGTGGATTTAGTTCGTCTTCGCTCTAAAATTCTAATTTTATATCAGAAAAGGAGAGAGCGCGAGATCGAAGAAAGATCCGAGTATTAATTATTCGTCCGCAGTGTCAGCGATCCATAATAATTGCATTTCATATCAAGAATGCAGCTGATTCATAATTTATTGAAAAACTTCTTTCATCCTCTTTTTTTATTCCGCATACGTCGGCAAGAAAAATAAATCATTCTTTGTCTTCGGATGAACAACGGGATAAATAATTCTCCCTTATCGCGCGCTGTTCCTTATCTACCCTGAAAAAAAATTTATTTAATTCGAACAAGTATTTATTTCAATACTGTCAAATGAATCATTTGTTTGAAACTATAATAATATCAATTTGATCCGATTGTAAGAAAATTCTTTTCAAAACAAATAAATATTTCTTTGTTTCAAATAAATGATTCATTTGGCAGTATTGAACTAAATATGTATTAATTTAGTTTTTCTTTCAGTGTAGCCTACCTTTATGAGTGCTTCTCGAAAGTTACTGCTCAGAACCGGAAATTGAGACCCGGCAATCGCGACGACGATACGTTAGTTAAAACGAAGGACGATGTAGTTTGGGAGGAAGAAAAAAGTAGTCGTGGGAATACTATATCCGGAGAGAATTGTTTTTCTGCTTATCTCTCGCGCACTTACCTTGCGAACAAGCGGGCGGATAACGCGAAGCGTCGTCATTTGACAGAATGAAAGAATTCAACGAGGACGAGAATCGAATTTCTTGAAAGTACCTCGCATCGCACCAACTGTGGATTCGCGATTAAATTTCTATTTCCGGGAAAATTGAAGGATGAAAAATATTAAAATATTAAAAACGGAGTTATATAACATAGATTAGAATTTTCAGATGAATTTCGCGAGAGGAACGATTGAGATAAACAGGGATTTGCGAATTTTTTCAATATCATGAACACGATTATTTTTATAATTTTATTACAATTTTTAGTCCACATTTTTTTCTTCCATCAAAGATTGCGTTAAACGTGAAATACGCTTTTTATGTTCATCAGGGAATTATATATTAAAATTTATATTAAAAAAGAAAACTATACCATGACTGCGTATATTTCTCTATTTTTCCTCGCATTTCGACATCGATAAAATTGATATTAATACGTAAAGAATAAACGTTCTTGATAGATATTGAAATAATCTACACTTGGAAAAATGCATTTGCTTTTCTTATTCGCTGTTCTGTGAAAAAAATACCCTCTGAAATATTACTGTATATATAATAAATATTTTATCTCTGCGTCCTTTTTCCCTGAACGTGGGAATCCCTGAATCATACATACAGCGAGAGTCAGAGATTTTTGCAACGTGTACCGTAAAGTGCATTCGCTGCATTTTCTGTCGCACGGACGGAAAAAGGTGGAAAAGAGAGGAATCGACGATGCGGATATGTCGCATAACTATCGTGAGAGTTTCATACTTATCCGAGAAGTGCGAAGTAACCGAATAATGGACGAGGCTAACGACACGCGACAAGAGTGTGAACTAATTCGTTGACTGCGGGCTGAAGAGGAAGAGAGGAGTCGCCGTCGTTGGAAATTTACTTACGCGATAAGACGATAAGTACTGGCACGGCGCACTTGGTGTCTTCGGATATAACGAGTTGAGTGCTCGCTCTCTTCCCCCGCGGCGCGAATTTATCGATTTCATTGACCTCGACTATCGGATGCGACGTGTTATCGCCATTATCATCGCCTATTTAACGGAATAACGGTAAAATGCGTTCTACGTAATTAAATTTACATTATTCATACCCGAATGTTTGCACGGCGTTTTAATTGCCTTCGATCCGCTTCTTTTTTTCGCAGCGTCAATATTTGCGTATTAATAATAATCGTCGAGTTTTATAGATTTAATTATTCATTATATTTTCGAGTAAAATCTGATAAATGTTCCCCGTCCGGAATAACGAATCGGATTCACACATGGCGAGGCATACATACGTGCATACATACATATAATCTTTCGATCTACGAGCGTTTACGCTCATTGTGGGAAATTTATTTACTTCATTCCGGATGCGCCAAAATGTATTCGCGCTATACAGATCGGGAAGGATAAATTTGATATTTCTCTCGCAACGGCACATATGCCAGAGTGCTCGCGGTAGGAAAATTTATTTTGTATTACACGTGCAGGCAAAGTGGTACTTTGTGTGCGTGTTTTCTGTGCGGAAAGCGGTCGATTTCCCACGCCGCAAGATGGCGGCGTGCGATCGGCCACCTCGCGCACAAAGCCACTTTGCCTGCACTTGTAATACAAAATAGTATGTGTATCACGTGCGGATTGACAATGGTTCACTCGTGTGGGATGGTCGCACTCGTGACCAATTGTCAACTTTCCGCACTTGATACACAATATTACTATTAATCCACATGAGAGATGTTTCCCGTGTCTCGTATTAAATTCACTTCCGCAACCGATATTATGTTTCGATGTCCGCTAATCGGTATCTTCAAGCGAACTCGAAGAGAGATGCATCGCGACCTACTTTCGGGAGTTGCTACCCTCCGTCAGAAAATCACCTAATGACGTGGCCGTAACGTAATAAAACATTGTTGGCCCCGTATATATATCGCTGCGCGGATATTGCGTTCTTTCTCCCGGGTTAGTGCGCGAGGCAACTCCCAATAATAAATTATATTCAGTTACGCTACG